CTCTGCCTCTCCCCCCTGCTCATGCTCTCTCTCTCTCTCTCTGTCAAATAAATAAATAAAATCTTAAATAAATAAATAAATAAGTAAATAAATAAATAAAGTTAATCTGCATTGCAAAAAAGTCTGGGAGAATATGGATCAAACTGTTAGCACCATTTTTTGTTTTTTCAGAGAAGTGGGCTTATAGGAGCTTTATACTTTCTGCATTACATCTATATTTATGGTATGAAAAATGGGTTTTGTCAAGAGCAGGGATTATTTTTTTAGCAGGATGTTGGTGGCTCCTTTTCCTACTGCCCTCCAGTCACACTAAAGCCTATGGACAAAGAAAAAAAGACAAAAGTAAATACCTCACCTTCTAAAGAGAATAGCCTACATTTGAGAGTGTCCCCCGTTCCCTTCAATCTTCTCCTGGGCTTACAAATAGGTACAGAATTTGTTCTGCTGCTGCCGCCTACCACCCGTCCACTACTATACCTCCCTTTCCAAAATTTATTAAAATACAGGGTAGGGAAGACCGGGGAGATTTCTTGAGGGTGGTTGGCCCTGTGGAGACAGCAGTATTTATTCCTGAACCGTGGGTTTTTTTCTCCTCCATCTGAAGGCTCGTTCTGGGGCACGGATGGGGAAGTCCCAAAGAGTCATTTGTAGAACTTAGAATTGCAAGGAGAAGAGACCAGGATTTTATTCCTCAGTTGGACATCTGCTTGGGCAGCAGACTGATGAAGTACCTCCAGTGTCTACCAAGGGGAGAGAAGAAAACTGGAGTGGGGGGGGTGCAGGGCAGAGAGAGGAGGGGGGCCAGTGGAATAACCTGCCTGCACTCCCACTGCTCAGAGCTGAGTTTTTGTGAGCTCCTTGAAGGTCAAGTAAACATCACAGACAGTAGGGTGGTTTGAGCCTTCCTGTTATTATTCTTTCTAAGAGGGCTACCTGCCAGGCCGTGAACCCACCATGAAGAAGCTATGAGTTGTGCTCAGGGTAATTGATACTCAAAAGAAGTGTTTAGCCACTGGAAGGCCTGGGTGCTGTTTCATCAGAATTCACAGCTGACGTAAACCACGTGGACAGCAGTGCCGGAGGGCTATCTCCCTGATAACGTTCACTGAGAGGGTACAGAAGTGCGGAGCCCCCTCACACACGTCAGGTGTGCTGGGTTTTACGGACTTGCCCCTCCAGCCACATTCTCCATCCTTCCCATCCTGCTCTGTGCAGCAGGTTTTCTCGGTGCACCCCATCATCACGCTCCCTTGCCCTCTGGCTTCCAAGAGGGTCTGGGTGATAGGAGACATCTGCAAGAGATCAGAGGCTGGGAGGAGGGAAAGACATATATTACCTTCCACACCGGGCCATGGTTTCACAATAGCCTCACTCATCTTCCTACGGCTGGCCGCAGCCTTAGGTGGGCCCTCTCTCATGGTGAACACTTCCTGCCCCATCCTCCTTCCGGCCTCGTAGTGGGAAAGGCTTCCCATGGACTCTCCCTGGGTACTTCAGCAGTCCTGGTGGGTTCCCTCAACCTGTCCACTCTTCTGCCAACAGTCCCTAGAGTGTCCCCAGTTACTCTTTTGAATGTGACATCTGATTCCTGCCTGGATTCTGACAGATCTGTCACACTGCTCTGTAGTGGGGAGATTTCTGTAATTCCTTTCCAGAGATTTCCCACATGTCCTCCATGAGAGAGCCTAGTTTTTGGGAATCTGCCTCACAGAGGCCATCAGTGGCCAGTCACCGTCAGCCAGAGAAGCAACAGTAAGCCACAGAGGGAGAACTATTACCAGAGGCAGTCAAATTAAGACACTTGTCCCTTTTCTTCTTGCCCAACCCCAAATACTAGAAGGTTAACGAAGGAAAGGGATTATTAGAGTCTCTGATGTGGCCCAATCAGAGTACCCCTCTCACTGCCTGGATTCTAAACAAATTCAGAAACTAGACAAAGAATAAGGCAGATAGATGGTAGCCAAAATATCATCTCTTTGATGATTAAGCCCAAGTTGGGGCCTATAGCTTACAGTAAGAACCAAACAAGTCAGGTAGGTCAACTCCAAAATTATGCAGACTCACCATCCCGTGGAGGTAGTGCTGGACCGCAGCAGCCCTGCAGACATGGGGTCCTGCCCAGGTAGGACTTCCAATAAGGAGGAACAGAGAGAACTCTTGCTCCCTGCTGGCACGGTTCCATCCAATAAAAATAAGGGGAGAAAACAAATCACTGAGTCAAACATATCCAGCCTATTTCTAAATGTATGAGTCAGATAAGTCACTCTACTTTCTGTGGACAGAGTAAAAAAAGGGAGAATGTCACACGAGTTGAGCCCTCTCCTTTTGAAAGGAGACATCATTAGGGGAGAAGCCTTCCACTTATTAAGGAGAAGAGGTATCTTCGTGCTGTATTTCAGCCCCCTGCTTCCACTCTCAACAATCAAGGTCCCAACCTAAGCCTGGCATGGAGAGGTGGAGGAGATGACATTTATACTTAATTTAAGATTAAACCTTTTCAATCCAAATGGATGATAGACCTAAATGTAGGAGCTAACACTATAAAATTCCTAGGAATAAATCATGACCTGGGGTAAGGTAAAGCCCTCTTAGATACAACACCAAAAGCACAAGAAACCAAAGGAAAAGAAATAAATTGGACTTCATTAAAATTTAAAACTTCTGTGCTTCAAAGGACACCATCAAGAGAGTGAAAAGGCAACCCACGGAGTGGGAGAGAATATGTGCAAATCATAAGAACACTCATGGTTCAATAATTAAAAGACAAATAACCCAATTAAAAAATGGGCAACGGACTTGAATAAACATTTCACCAAAGAAGATATACAAATGGCCCTTAAGCACATGAAAAAAAAAATGCTTCATACCACTAATCATTAGGGAACTACAGTTGACCTTTGAACAACACAGGTTTGAACTGTGCAGATCCAGTTAGACATGGATTTTTTTTGGATAAATACAGTATGGTGCTGTAAATGTATTTTCTCTTCCTTATGATTTTTTCTTTTTTTTTTTTTAAAAGATTTTATTAATTTATTTGACAGAGAGAGACACAGTGAGAGAGGGAACACAAGCAGGGGGAGTGGGAGAGAGAGAAGCAGGCTTCCCGCCGAGCAGGGAGCCCGATGCGGGGCTCGATCCCAGGACCCTGGGATCATGACCTGAGCCGAAGGCAGATGCTCAACGACTGAGCCACCCAGGTGCCCCACTTCCTTACGATTTTCTTAATAGCATCTTCTTTTCTCTAGCTTACTTTATTTTAAGAATACAGTATATAATCACATACAAAATATGTGTTAATTGACTTTATATTATCAGTAAGGCTTTCGGCCGACAGTAGGCTATTAGTAGCAAAGTTTTTGGAGAGTCAAAAGTCATATACAGATTTTTGACTGCATGGGGGGTTGGTGCCCCTAGCTCTTGTGTTGTTCAAAGGTTAACTATACAAATCAAAACCACAATAAGATACCACTTCCTGTCCAGCAGGATGGCTATAATGAAAAAGATAATAACAAATATTATTGAGAATATGGAGAATCTGGAACCCTCATACACTGCTGGTAGGGATATAACATGGTATCACTGCTTTGGAAAACAGTCTAGCAGTTCCTTGAAACGTTATACATAGACTTACCATATGACCCAGCAGTTCCAAGAGAAATGAAAATGTATATCCACACCAAAACTTGTACATGACTGTTCAGAGCAGCATAATTCATAATAGACAAAAAGTGGAAACAAAACTAAATATCTATCAATTGACAAGTGGATAGATAAAATATGGTATATTATTTGGCAATAAAAAGGAATGAAGTACTGATATACCCTACAACATGCATAAATCTCAAATAAATTAGGATATCTATCTATCTATCAAAAGAAGCCAACATAACAGATAAACAAGAAAATATTTGCAATTCGGGTGCAAAGTTCTACCTCGGATATAAGCTCTGAATATTCCAGCACAGACTGGAGCTGGAGAATCAGTGAAGATTTCATGGGGTTGATGATGTTTCGGGTGGGCTTGGAAGGAGAGTAGGCATTAGCCAATTGATGAAGTTGGAGAAAGAGCCTTCCTGGTAAAGCAAACAGCATGCGGTGACTGCAAACATAAACAGTGAATTCAAGGGGCACCTGGTTGGCTCAGTCGGTTAAGCGTCTGACTCTTGATTTTGGCTCAGGTCATGATCTCAGGGTTGTGAGATCGAGCCTGCATCAGGCTCCATATGGGCTCCACACTCGGCATGGACCCTCTTGCCTCTCCCTCTGTCCTTTCACCACTCTAAAAAAAAAAAAAAAAAAAAAATTCAAGAAATATTTATTAAGTGCCTACTAGGTGTTAGACAGAGTGGCGGGCACCAGGATTCTGCTGTGAAAAAGATTATGGGTAAAGCTCTTGGGCCCAATGTCCACTGTGGACTACTTAGCCGATGACGGGGATGAGAAATCGGGGGTGATGCAGCAGTAACATGGCTTTTGGGAGTAGAGAAGTCCACACCCACTGTGGCTGTAAAGGAAACCGTTTTGTCCCAGGCTCTGATGGGATCTGTGCAGTATTGACAGCTTTTCTTGGGTCTCCTCCAGGTTACACACTCCTCACTCTCCCAAGCTGTGTCCCATACCCTTTGTTGCTAGTTCAAGTTGTGCCACTAGGGGATGGACAGTGAGTGACTGGCCAGGGCAAATGCACTCAGAGTCTGAAGGAAGCAGGGAAGCCGAGGGTGCAGCCCTCTGGGAGTCTGGCCCGAGGACAGTTGGGCTGGCCCCAAAAGAGGCAGAGAGGATATGGCAGACAGATGCCTAGTGTAAAAGGCTCCCTGCTAGGCAGCTCAACTCTGCCTCTGAGTTATTTCCATGAAATTATCACCCCGAGGCACAAATAAGGTGATCTGAGAGGCAGCCAGTATTTTGCATAATTCCCAGGAGGCCAGTACTAAGGGAGGACCATGATCGATTATTGCCTTGTAGCTTCCAAGAACAATAAGGGCATGTGGATGAGTGTCATTGAAGGAGCAGAAGCGAAGGGACACCTGGCAGCTCCCTATTGTGGAGCCAACCTGAGGGACCCTCTGAAATGGCGCTGGGGGAGGAGAGAACTGTAGCTGTTGGAGTTTTGCTGCAAAGTTGTCCTCTCTCTGGGTCAGGCAGGGTAAGTGTAATATCTCCTTGGCTCTAGGCTCCTCCCTTCAGCCTTCAAACATGCTCAAGCCTCATTCCATGTTTACAAAACTTTCCCTTACCCACCTCAGTTGGCACATTATCTCCCTACTCCCCTCCAGAGTCAGACTTCTGGAAAGAGTTCACATCTGCCTCATTCATGTCTCACCTCAGTAGTTCTCAACAAAGTCGTTAAAGTGGAAACCAATCCCTTATCTTCCTCACTCCTCTGGAGGATTTAATACTCTAGGGATCCTCTTCCCTTGGCTTCTGTAGCACCACCCTCTCTGGTTCTCTATGTACCTCTCTGTTTTCTTGGAATCCAACTTGGTCACTGAATTCTCCTCTGTGGCCCAATCCTTAAAAGCTGCTCACTCAGGATCTACCCTTGACACTCTTTCCTTTTTGCTCTGGGGGATCTCACCCATGCCTCTGGTTTTACCAGTCCCTCACATGCTGACAATTCCCAGCTCCCTATCTCTTTTCTGAGCTTCCGGCCTCTTCATTGTCTGGCTCCCCAGGTAGACCAGGTCCCCCAACTCAATAGTTACACAATTGAGGTAACCTCAGATTTGCTCCTGTGATGTTCTTGAGCTCAGTCGGTGGCAAGACTCTTTTACTCAAATACAAAAATAAGAAATCTAAGTAGTTTTCTATCCAATCCATCTCCGTGTCTAATGTCATTGACGATTTAACATCTCCAGTGCCCTCCATTGACCTTCCCAACTCCCACCCCGATTTCTAGCCTCACTAACTTAGTTCAGACTTCAGCATCTCTTATATGGACTTTGCAACAGTTTGCTGACAGGTTTCTCCAATTCTCATCTTTCTCTCCCTGTATTCCATCCTCCATATTACTTTCCAAGTGATCTATTGAAACAGAAATCTATGACTCCATCACCTGGTTGAAAATCTTTTAATGGTTCCCCATTTCCCTCAGGATAAAATTCAAATCTTTGACCCTGAATCCATGATGAAGGGGGACCTAATAGGAAGTCTGCAGGGAGAGGGTTGGGAGAGGTTCTCATCACAACTAAAAGGGATACACAGGAACAAATGCTCCTCTTCTGTTTTGGAGATGAAATGTCTGCTTGTGACATCTGGAAATTCTTTGCTCATCTCTTAACCACAGGGACAGATATTGCAGACATGTTAAGGAAAGATTAGAAGACAGAAAGCACTCGGATCCTGCTGAGCTCCCTAAGCTACTGAATTAACCAGCCCTAGAATGGCATACTTCTAGATTTCCTGGAGCATGGGATAACAAATGTCCTAATTATTTAAGCTACTTTAGTTAAGTTTGTAGCTACTTGCAGTTGAAAGCACCCTAACTAACACATTTATAATATGTTTTCCTTTTTTAAGATAGAGAAAATACCAAAGACTGTGTTAAAATGAAGCCTTCTTAAAGAAGAAGAGGAAGAGGGTGCCTGGGTGGCTCAGTTGGTTAAGCGACTGCCTTCGGCTCAGGTCATGATCCTGGAGTCCCGGGATTGAGTCCCACATCAGGCTCCCTGCTCAGCAGGGAGTCTGCTTCTCCCTCTGACCCTCCTCCCTCTCATGTTCTCTGACTCTCATTCTCTCTCTCGCAAATAAATAAAATGTTAAAAAAAAAAAATTTAAAAAAAAAGAAGAAGAGGAAGAAGAAGAAGAAGAAGAAGAAGAAGAAGAAGAAGTCGTCTTCTCTGACCCTCTTAGGAAGTATTAGGCCTGCATCTTTTTTTGTTCACATAGTAATAGGTACCTTCCTCTGTTGTGGCATTTAGAACAGAAAGTTTTAGATTTCTTTCAACATATTACAGCCAAAGCAATTACTGCTGCAGTGGACAGCCAAATGCATTCCCAAATTCAGTCTCTTACTTATGCAAACAAAAACTTCCCCACCCCTCAGAGCCATATCTAGCCTGCTTTAGCCCTTAGGTCAGTGTAAGGAATGTAATAATAGCTAGTCAGCTACATTCTGTGGAGAGCTGGGTGTCACAGCTCATCTCTGCTGAAAC